GAGCCTGGCTGGAGAACTGGAGAACCTGGCTGGAGAACCTAGCAAGAGAACATGGACACAGGACTTGGCTGGAGATTGTGGCTAGAGATCCTAGCAAGGCTGCTGATCAACTGAACGCTGTCTCCGTGTCATTCCTTCTTCGCCGACTCCGTCCACACCTTTGGGGACCCCTGGACCTGCTGGGGTTGGACCCCAGCAGTATTAAAATAACAAAAATATAAAAGCAAACTGCCTCCACCTCCACCATTTAACCAAATTGTTTCATCTGTCCGTATTTGCAACATTATCAGTTCTACAATCTGTATTTTCATTTATCATGTCATTAATATTTTCCCATTTCACTGCCTTTTCTCCTTACTCCTACCTTACCCCCTTCAGATAACCAATGTTCACAGCCTGGGCAATTATTTTTCTATATATTTCTCTATGTTTGATTAATCCTACTGGGGACACTAGAACAATAGCGATATCAGAACAATTGACTAACCTCCCCTCTCTCCCACCTCTTCTTGTTCTCCTGACATACTCAATGTTCAGCCATAAAAGCCCTTGTTTTTCTTATTTTATTATTTTTTAATCTTCACTCAAGGATGTTTCCACTTATCCTTAGAGATGGGTGAAGGCAGAGAAAGAGAGAGCAAGAGAGAGAAAACATTGATCAGTTTCCTCTCGCATATGCCGACAGATCCAACACGCAACCTAGGCATGTGCCTTGACCAGGAACCGAACCACTACCTTTTGGTGTACGGGACGACACTCCAACCAACTGAGCCACCCAGTCAGGGCTGCTTTTATTTTTAACTCTTAAAAGAATAGTTTCCTAGGTCCTTGCTCGAGTAGACCCCACTTCCCTCCCATCTGCTTTGCTGAAAATCACCAGGAAGAGAAACCACAAAGATTCATTTCTAAAAAGGAAGAGAGAGTTCTAGCTCCACATCTGCTCCGTGGACCAGCAGCAGCAGCTCGTGCACATTCTCTGCCGTTACTTATGCACGGGCGATTTTCAGACTATTTCCTTCCCTCCCTCTTCTCCTCACTGCGTGACTCCTGCTTTTTTACTGTTTCAGCTTACACATGGGCCAAAGGAGCCCGTCCATAACACCACCTTTCCATTCAGCAATTCTATCATCAGTTTCTCAAGGTCACCTTGTCACGCCAGACATCCTCCTATTCACACCTGTCTCGCCAGCTCGGCACTGGGAGGAGAGAGCAGAGTGGGGACAGGGTCTGCGATGGTCCCTTCAGCAAGGCCAGTGGGAGGGACGTTTCATCTCCCTGAGGCAGCCTGGGCCCTGAGTCCCCTCAGTCAAAACCACTGCCCTTCCTCATAAGGTCCTGCTCTGTTCGTACTTTGTGGCGCCTCTGAAAAAAATAGGTGAAATGGTTGAACGTTCATTTGCCTGCTGTGGAGTTGACTCAGACTTCGGATCTGAAACTTTTTCTTGATTCAGCTTCAGTAGGAAGGCAGGGAGGTGAGGAGCAATCCCTCAGCCTGCCAAAAAGGCAAAGGTGCCTTAGTCCCACGCATCGCGGACCGCCCCTGGGTTCACACACACACAGGGCCACCCCAGAGAACAGCCTTCCCGTCACGTCACCCGTGGGGTTAGGTCCCAGCTCCGCCGGTTCCTGCTTGTGTGATAATGACGAGGTCAACATTTTGAGTCTTATTTTCTTCATCTCTAAAAGGAAGTGAATTTTTTTTTTTAAATAGTGACTTCGTTTAGTAATTGTAAGCAATGAACATGACATGGAAAACAATTTTAAAATCCTTTAGGCCAATTGAGGGTTATACAAGTGCTGGTTTAATTTGCCATTTAATTTTCCAGCCTACAGAAAGTCCTTGTTGACTAA